TGTAACCCAGTCCCTTCCTTAGCAGGTCCAGCGAGTCAGCGGAATCTGGTTAAGCTAGGTGATATATAGATTAGCGTATCAGCATATTGCAGTACGCTAGGCTCGAAGCATACTAGTGTCAGATCCTTCTCCTATTGCTTTTCTTGTCTCAGCCTCTCCCAATTGCCGTGATGCCAACTAATAATTCTCTTCCTGCAGCGAATGTAAGATCATAGAAAAGCTTGTTATAGGGCCCGAATATGGAGCATCGTCTCCCTAAGGTACATTTATTGGCGAGACAACAATTAGTCGAGGTGAGATTCATGTGCTCGTCTTCGCGATTTTGCCCTGGAGACGACAATCGGTGTGGATGGCTTTTCTAATTGGTCTTTAAGCATGCCGTTGATCACAATGATGATTGGACTGGGCTTTCAAGCCCCGCTGCTCGTAGGAAGCTGCAGAATAAGCTGAATCAAAGAGCACGACGTAAGTAACCTGGGCTGGCTGAGGCTAGTTTTGTGTGGTCTATGCTACCCACAGTACAGTGATTTCATCAATCAGTATTAATGCTTCATAGGATGGCGTCAGGCCCCGGATAAGGTTACACCACTCAGATCGAAAATCGTTGATGTCCAAAGAGGCCACCAACTATCAACTTCGCTTTCTTTTCCACAGGGAAACGCTTCTGGTCCAATGACCGGAGACAGGAAGTTCGAGTCAAACGAAATAATTCTACCTAGACGGTATGATCAAGATCTTAGATTTCCTCTCTCTGGAGACCACCTCATCCATCTGATCCAGCTCAACGTCTACCGTGCACTTCTGACCAACATGATGAGCTTGGGAATGTCCCATATTTTCAGTTGCGCAACCACTCTAGACGAACGAGACACACGAATCATTTCCGCTGTTCCTCTCCCTGCAACCGTTCCTCCGCTTCTAGAGCCGACCGCCCTTCAGCAACAAACGCCTCATTCGGCGTGGATTGATTTGTTTCCTCTGCCCGCTCTTCGAGATGCACTCATCCGCATACAAGGGAGGTTCGATGAAGGAGAGCTATATGTCGACATACTCGGATCCATCGGAAGTAAAGGGTCTGGTGAACATCATGCATCCCATTATAAGCACCTTCAGAAAGCAATGAGCTCCGGTAGGGAACGAACTGGAGTCGTTGTTTGGGGTGATCCATGGTGTGTGAGCTCGTGGGAAATCGAAGAAGGGTTTGCGAGAAAATGGGGCTGGATGATCCAGAATGATTGCGAAGAGTTACTCCAGTCAACGAATAAGTGGCGGAGATCAAGAGGGGAAAAGCCTATCAATTGGGCTCGGATGGGCTTCAAGATAGGGCATGGCAAGTACAACATCCAAACGAGCGCTAGTTGATCTTAATTGAAGCTGTTCAAGATCAAATACAATATGGTCATGGCGACTGCGTATCAGTTGTTTTATATTATATAAGCATTCTCTTTTATTTAGGATGATATTGATGCATGCTGTGTCACGCTGTTCTAATGATTTCAATTCAAGATTGACCAAGACTATCTCAAGACTCCTGCCCTGGATTTACTCCATCATGGAGACCCTTACGACTCAGTATATCATTGCATCATGATCTATGCACGAGACTTTTGCGAAGGTAAAGAGAACAGTATGAGACCAACACTCTATGGTAAAGAAATGACCCTTGTTAGACACCGATGCGTCATCATACAGTTGATTTTTATCCATGAGATGAGTTGTCTTCTGACGCCTGGTAATTGGGGAGAGCTATACTGTGGGATTGAGCGAATGATCGAAATGGGGTGCGAACAGCTGTTTGGTAGCTTGGAACTTTTTCAAGGTCACGAAATATAGAAAACTCGTCCTCGGAACTATGAGAATGATGGTCTGATCCTTCGTCTCCTATGTCGAGATTACTAAATGAGACGTTGGCAAAATCAAGACGTTCGATGGATTCCGTATTTGCTAGCGCCGCAGCATTTGAATTCGACTGATGTTCCAAACTTGTGCGGCTTGGTGGACTATCATAGAGCTCGTCGCGCACATGGTCTTCATATGAGGGTAAGATGGCCTCTCCTGGAACCCCATCGTATGATATTCTAGTGGGCGACTCTGTCATGCTACCGTGCCTGTCGAAAGCTATGCTAGGGTAGAGAGTGACGGAGACGGGAAGTGTGGCAAGAAGCTACGACTCAATTAGTATTTAAAAATCGCAAAGAACTGGAAGTTTTCATCACTTACTTCTGAGATATGGCCATCGGGGTTACCTAATTCCACTGATAAAGAAATCTTGTGGCGGACTTTGATGTTCTCGAGGCTCAAGTCTTGGATACAATCGCACAGTTCTCGAGGGAGGTCGAGAGTTTTCCTTATAACCCACCCTTCCTGGCCGCTTTCTTCGATCATATCTTGCCAGAAGTCTTCTCTGGTCACCTGAATATCCCATTTAGAAGACACGCGCTCGATACGATGTTTCTTTCCGCTTGTGTGTATTGAATTTGGAAAATGGCTTTCACGAACTTCGATTAATCTTGCTCTGATGCTTCTGAGTTCAAGCCCCTTTAGCAAAGGAGTGAATCGCATCTTGATAGGTATTGAGCTTCCAAACGCGACGCTTTTCTGCGGGATAACAATAGAATACTCGATCTTATTGGACCAAATATCATCAACGCCAACGGGCTGAGTCAATTCAAGAGCATCTAGGGAAGGTGTATGAATGATTCGAAGGTGTTTGTAAGCATGCAGATCATGCGCCAATTTTCCTCTGTTGATTGTTGCTTTCAGCGCATACGTCACGGATAATTCTTGAATTCCCTCGACGGTCTCGATTGTATTCGAAGGGAGTGTGAATTCAAACGGCCACTCATAGTTTCCGGAAGATAAGAACATAGTCTTCCCTGGAATGCCGACAAATGGTTTCCATCGATGCTCGAGTATCTTTTCTCTTTGGTTCAAAAATCGCGTATCAACGGAACTATGATGGATTTCGTCAGATGCCGTGCACAATTTGACACAAATGGTCATTATAGATGGAAATCCTACAGGTGACGCATTATGCCGACTAATTGAAGGTGTGCATCCTCAATACGCAGTGGTGACTGCAAACAAAGGACAACCACTCCCCGTAAAAGGGGACCCCGATATTCCTGGTCATCATCCCGAATAGTAAGGACCTCATTGTCTGGTCTATTTTTCGCAGAAGTCAGGCTCGGTTTCCGTCAAAATCATGATATGTGAGAGTTCTAACCGGATCTCGAAGAAGCTGCACGAGTGTCGGCCACCGATAGACGAGAAGGGGTGGATTGGTGGTCCATGGGACGGATATGTCGGAGAGCGTGTTGTCATGAGTAGACATATGAGATTTTAATGAGCTCGACGGACGAGTCTACGGGATTGAAACTAGGAAGAGGTAAGGAGGGAAGCTGGTGGGGATCTGACAATGACATACAACTTCGCACTAGCTGACGACTCCAAGGATGCCTGTTTCGATGTTGAAGATGCATGGTAGGAAACTGGTGTCATTAGTGAGCCGCATGCAGCTATAAAAAGGATCATTTTAAGATTCAAGCTTTCATGTGATGCGAGCTAATTGAACCAGAGAGGTCCGAACCGATATCATGGGCCTCAGGGTCCACACCACCTGGTCTAATGATAAGGTTGTATGGAATTGACTGGGGCTCAAATTGAGTGGGGAGTCAACAGTATCATGATATTTTCTACAGTGATAATGCGGCGAAGGCAAACTGACCAGGGTCGAGGGAAACAGCCGAGGTTCGGTCGCTGTACGAGTCCGTTACGCAAGCTCGAAAATTATACCACATCCAGAACAGCCGCCCCAAAGCTTAATCCAGATCCAATCTGAGGCTGACTCAATTGGGTGGCAGATTGGTGTGTGCTGTACAAAAGTTAGAGGTAGAGTACGGGATCAGCCCGATGGCTCCCTTGCGACTTGGGCCAAGAGATCGGAACGCATCCGGCCGCACTGCAGGTGTGCCTTGCGGCCCTTGCCCCTGCTCTACTATTCCAGACAGTGTCAGTGCACACGAACTTGGATCTGTTTGTTGTAAATCAGAGACCGCGAAGCCATATAGGCGACGAATGTTCTGACAGATGAACACATCTAGATAGAAGGCAATCAATCCATACCATACCTGACGCCTCATCACGGTGCGACTGACCAAAGATCACCTGCCTAGATAGCCTCGATGGGCGGTTTTCTGAAGTCACCATACCAAGAGAGAGAAAGCGAGTGCAGGTGACGCGCCTGGACCTGGCACTCCCGTGCGCGGGAATTCGTAACGATTCCTTTCCAGTTGCGAACATCAAAATGCGCCCTAGCACCGGGCATTTGATACGTCTTCGTCTAGGGTTGTCGGCGTTGCAATGGTTTGTCAATGATCCTCAAGACAAACACCAGGAAGCGCCGGGTCAACCTTTCTGCGAGTCGGGCGGGCCCTTTACTTCGCCTTAGTCATGCTGCATCTCGCCCGCACCCACCACGGCATGATCATGACCAGCGCACTGGGTATTTCTTTTGGCCTGGGCTACGTTTCACGTTACTAATCGTCCTCCAGAGCGCAGGACGCTCTCGCATGTCGCCATCAATGGGTTAGCCTGATGACCCCACCATTTGCGTCATATCCGTCTAGATTTCGACATGCATGTTAACCAAATGCTCTGCAACGGGTGCCAATGGATAACTGATTTTATTCAGGAGTATAGACCTATGGGGCCATTGTTCTGCCCGGTATTCCGGGGTGATTGGTCGGCCCTGTAATGCTGGAACATCCCAGAGCGGAATTCTACACCCACCTAAGTACCTTGGTACTGTACTACATCCCCCTCACTTACATAACATCAAATTACGACTTGCATCCATAAATACGGGCCGGCGCTGTGGTTTCTCATCCATCTGAACGCTAGACAATCAACTAAATCGGAGAGATCCAACCTTATCCTAGCACACACACCATCCAAGCCCTTGCAGATACTATAGACCAGCGTCAAGCCAGTCGGAGAGCATGAGTCGACACGTTCTGGTTCTTGGCGGCCACGGCAAGGTCGCCCAACTCCTCACGCCGCTTTTGTTGCAGCGATCATGGACAGTGACCAGTATCATCCGGTCGGAGGAACAGGTTCCAACTGTTCGCAAGCTCGGAGATAACCAGTCAGGACAGCTCAATGTTCTCGTTCGAAGCATAGAAGACGTCAAAGAAGTATCACAAGCCAAGTCGATTCTTGATGAAGTCAAGCCTGACTACATCGTCTGGAGTGCTGGAGCCGGCGGCAAGGGTGGCCCCGAGCGAGTAAGTACTGTGCATGCTACTTCTCGACGAGTCGACATGTCGAGGTATCAGCTATAGGCAGCTAACATATGTTCCTAGACTTTGGCTATAGACCGCGACGCTGCCATTGCTTTCATTCGCGCAGCGGCATCCACACCTTCAATCACCAAATTTTTAAACGTCAGCCACCTTGCGTCCCGGCGCCAGAAGCCATCCTGGTGGGGAGACGCGGCTTGGCAGACTGCGTTGAACACGAACAAGAAGCTTGCGACGTACTACCAGGCTAAAATTGCTGCTGATGAGGTCTTGTATGAGGAAGGGCGCAAACGCAAGGACTTTGCAGCGATCAATCTCCGTCCCGGTACCTTGACGTCTGAGCCGGCAGGCCGGGTAGAGCTCGGACGAACCGCAAACTCGGCTGGAGAGGTAAGCAGAGCAAATGTGGCTGCCGTAGCCGCGCTGCTGTTGGAAGCGGATGGGACGAAGAATTCTTGGTTAGACCTGCTTGACGGTAAGGAAGAGCCGGAGGCGGCGGTGAAACGTGTCGTGAGTGATGGTGTGGACGCTGCCGAAGGCGAACCAGTCTACCAGTCTACAGCATGAACGCCATTACACCACACCCTGTAGTATCAAATGAATAATCAAGACTTCAAAATATAAGTTGCAACGTATCGTACTAATTGTCCTCGGACATGTTGGACCTTATCTGTTTGGAGACTAGCCCATCATCAACATAACTACGGAGGCCGAAATAACAATTGTCTTTAGCATATATTGCAATGGATGAAATGCTCAAAGACCGTTCCGATGGAGCCACCCGCGATTTACAAATCATACACTCAGACTAGCCTCCAAATTCGCTTGCTATGTCCCTTGACGTTCTCTCTCGACAAAGCTAACAAGCCTTCCAACGCCGTGCCCAAAAACAACTCCAGCCGCTTGCGAATATCCCAGGTTACACTCATAAGCGGTCGAATTGCGAGAAGCAGCTGTTGACTTGATCAATAGACATTGTTTTGCTACCAAAAATCGGGTCATGTCTCGACAGACCATCATTGTAGACATTAGGAATTAGACATAAGTGTGGACTTTCGTCAGGAATTGCGGTCCACATCAAACGAATATCTTCCTAAACTGACTCCGAGTATTGTCAGCCCATTCGGCCAATAACATCGTAATATTCACGGACTGAGTGGCCTTTGGACAGGGGTGTGTGCGCATGCAGACAGGGTACCAAATATCCCAATCCCACGTTATACGGACCAATACTCTTATCCTCCTCCACTTGCCGCGAAAATGAGGGGCAGCGCCTTTCTTGAATAGCCTAGCAACACACACTTCTACCTCTGTTCAAAATCTGGGAAAAGAAAGGTTCGCTAGCGTGCCGAAACTCGTGATCATCACTAGCGGTCTGATCAAAGCCGATCATGATCGAGAGCGACGAAGCCGGTAACGCGCAGCCCACCGGCGAGAATACAGCCACAGTTGAAGACACGCCAATCGAACCGACTACTGGTCTTGTCGACGAAGATGAGTTCGAACTGACAGAGCAGTGGGACAACAGTTCTTCCGCCTCAACGTCCATTACCTCGAGCATCTATAGACACTCGTATGAGAATGGGCGACGCTTCCACAGCTACAAGTATGGAAGATATCCGCTGCCAAATGATGATATCGAGCAAAATCGTGAGGATATCAAGCACGCCATGATGCTCGAAGTGACGGATGGCAAATTGTACTACGCACCACTAAGCCCTCATGCACAAAAGATCATAGATATAGGTACTGGGACAGGGATTTGGGCTATTGAAGGTATGCTTGCTTCACTTGAATCAGAAATGTGTCAGTGACAGTTCTGTTGTTAAGCGGCTTACACTGCTCGCACGTTGTGCAAATTTAGTTGCAGATCAAATTCCTAGTGCAGAGGTTTTAGGTACTGACCTGTCACCTATTCAACCATCATGGGTGCCGCCGAATTGCCGATTCATTGTCGATGACGCAGAAGATGAGTGGCTAAATGGTGACGATTTTGATATGGTTCACATGCGCACCATGGCATCAGTGGTGAAAGATGTTCCGAAGGTGTTAAGCTATGCATATAAGTAATGTCTTCTCCATCGCCTTAGCCCCTCATCACAGATCCCATGAACATAGCCTATAGAGACACGTCCTCTGAGTTCCCGTATTGGAAAATATATTAACCATGTTGCCTCAGAGCCCTCAAGCCCGGCGGCTGGATTGAGCTACAAGAACTTCAAGCCTTCTCGTTCTGCGATGACGGGACGATGCCGGACGATGACGATGTACTACGATTCTATCAGCTTACATACAAGGCGCTTGGCAAATTCGGAATGGATTTAGACATGCCGAAGAAACTAAGGCCACTGTTAGAAGCCGCCGGGTTTTCAAACATTCAATGTGTGGTCAAAAAGGTGCCAGTAGGACCTTGGGCACAGGATCGCAACTTACGCGTCGCCGGGCTGTATTTAAGGGAGGCCATCACCGATCTCATCCCTGCTATGACAGGTAAGCCTTTTCAAACACTAGGCATGAGCGCAATCGAATGCGAGATGCTAGCTATGGGCGCAAGGAAAGGTTTAAAAGACCTGACACGGCATCGTTATCTCAACTTTTACTTTTGGACGGCACAGAGGCCTGAATGAAAACGATCAAACCGAAACGGCAGAATTTCCAATATTTAGCTATGAGCAATACACCAATATGGGCCTCACAACATGTGATGGCGTTAGAAGAATAATACTGTATTTATGGGCTGCTGTACATATACAACTTGTGTCAATTGGTCAGACACTCATCCTCTATGACGAAACTATCCAGTCCACACTACCCGAGTAAGCTATGTAACTGTCTTCGCGGCTTGCGATTCTGATTTTTATGACATCAGTATCGACATCGCTCAGATCGATAGTAGATGAGAATGTGTAATTTGTTGAGGATGGTAATGATGTCCACTCTTCACTATCCGGGAGAGCCCACTGTGCAAAACTCTCTACCGTGATCCAGAATGACCAGGAGATAGTCGGTGAAGTTCCGCCCGCTATGGTGAAATTTCGAAAGGAAGGTCCTTGAGGGTCGATAGTTAGGTTAGTCTCGATGGAAACTGCCGCAAATCCGCTTGCAGAAATCTCGACAGTCCAACTATTGTCATCAGTTTTAGATGCGATACCAGCGAATGGTGTGATGTGTCCCCAAGTGGCGACCCTAAAGGGAATCAATGACCGTGGATCCATTTTGATTGTAGCAGTTTTAGCTCCAGCCAACTCATTTAGCAATATGACAAAAAGCTTGGTGCCATCTGTAGACTTTGCCGTAATGTAATCAATCTCTGGGTCGCTGACGTTGAGCAAACTTCTTGGTTGCCACAAATCAGCTTTCTGACCGTAGATTGTTCCACTTTCAAAGCCATACGGTACATGACTTCCGACTTTTGCAGTGATGAACCCGTGGGGGAAGCTGATCTGCCCACCACTTAGCATATGTGCGCTCGAGAGCAAATAATCTGACACCCAGCCGATGTGCCACCATCCGTGCCACGGGTAACGAGAGCCAGCAGTGTTAGTCTGATACCAATAATAGCTTGGAATACTGCTCGATGGGTCTACAAATGCATCACGGCCACGGGCCGCGAATCGTGCAAGTTTTAGGAAGAAGGCATCTCCTGTAGCCTCATAAATTCTCATGAAGCACCCTGCATGGCTACTGATTGTGATTGGACCTCGTTCTCCCGCGGTGCCCTTGTAGCCAGCATGCTCGTAATTCAAGGCAACCTGACTCAGCTGCCATGCCTGAAGAAGCTCGGTACCACGGGACTTGGTGCTGTCATCTACAACCGGGTGATTGAAGATGTGCAGAGTGTAGAACTTGGCAGCTAGCACTGCTGCATCAAGATAGAAAGAGTTCCCCGTCAATTCGTAGAGATCCAAAAGAGCTTGCGCCGAAAAGATAGTTGCAAAGTCAGGATATAGATAAGCATCGTCGCACACACCAAGCCAGCGGCCTGTTTCAAGAACATTCTTAACGAACCATTTGGCACCAGCTTCAGCGGCGTTCAGGTATTTGAGGTCTTTCAGAATCCGGTAGGCGGGAATGAATCCGTACCATGTTGCGCGATTGTCTGTCAGATAAGAGTATTTGATCGTACTTGGATTCGACTTAATGTATCCGATATCAAAGCTACCGTCCGACTTTTGCCAGCTTAGTAACTTTTCGGCCGCAAGTGTGAACCTCGATATCATTTGAGCATCTGTATTGTTGAACAATACAATATTTCCCACATCCGAGAGAATATAAAACGTTGTGAAGATGGGTGATACGTAATCTTCTGAGTTGACAGATCCCCAGATAAGTTCACTAACGAACTGCCCATTCTTGTAATATTCCCCAATTGCAGCGCCATTGAACACCCCGCCAGTCGTGTCCTGCTGGCCCAGCTTGAAATTTCGAGCATAAGGTAGTCTCTCGGCCAACATCAACGGATCTCCCGTTAGCCGCTGCGTCATCCACATCGCAGCGACATCTGATAGTTTGCCAGATTCGGCTCCCATTGTGAGATTGTTATATGTCCAAATGTTCCACTTTGAAGCCGGTGTGATGACAAAATCATGAATACGATTCAGGCGTTCGCGGAGCGATACTAGATCTCTCGCTCTGTCTCCGTAGTTGTCTATTGAGTAGACCTCTTCATGTACAAATTTATTTATCTCATACCAGGTATCAGGCTCTTCCGAAAGAACATATAAGAAGCGAGCTTCGATGCCACTATCCACAGATAGTTGAGAGTGAGCTTGGCCAAGGACTGGATAGTATGCGGTTGGTGCCAATGAACCGTTCCGGCTACGTAGGCTCAATCCAACGTTCCACTGGGTCTGAGTGCCGATGCTACTTATTGCGTAAGGATCTCTGGCCATCGATGGATGAGGTATGACAGCGAATATCGATTTTGTCTTTGAGTCTGATAATATCGAAACCAGACTGGTCGTGCTTGCCTCAACAGAGACCAGTGGAACCACAGGAACTCCTTGCACATACGTGTACGCGTGTGTCATGTCAGATTCCAATACATTAGACGACCAGTAACCTGGCACAACCCCCCATCCAAGATCTTCATCAGCAATGGAAACCAGACGAGGGCTCTCAATAGAGTACCAGCCGGCAGCTGTAGGTTTCCAGGTGGTGTTGACTGTGATGATATCTCTAGTATGGTTGGTGTCAATCCACCAACTTGCTATGAAAGTGCCATTCACCAGTTTGTTGACTGTGGTGACCGCTCCGTTACTGTAAGTCACGTTCTTAGGTAGAAACTCCGTAAATGTGCCTAACTGGCCGAGTTGAACTAGGGAAGTGCTTTGTGATGCGGTAGTATAGTTTGCGACCAGTCCGTATTGCCCTCCTACTGAAGACTTGACCACCCACTCATCATTTGCATCTTTGGCCTGAATTTGCGCAAGCCAGCCTTCGGAGTGCTGCGTCCATAACATGCGTAGATTACGCCCAGTGATGGACACGGTGCGAGGTACGCATACTCCCGTGACAACGTAAAAAATAGCGAATAACGTCCAGAATTGAATCATGTTCCGTTTCTTAAGCAACATACCTGTATAATCACTTTCCAGGCAGCGTGATCGATGTGATCAGGTATTAATACTTACCCAACCCATTTTAATTGTGCACAGACACTGACATTTTTTTCCCCGCAAAATCTACATGTTCCCCAGAAATACGAAGCTTCGTACCTGACAGCTGGAACCCAACACGGCATGAAAGGTGTTCTCGTTGTCAAACTGTCAGGTAAATGCCTGATTTCGAAGAGTGAGCCAGGATCAAGCATGTTCCATGAATTTAAAATGCGAATCATTTTATGACTTCAATAGACTAGTTGGTCAATAGTCTGGGAATTTCGATGCGGAGGCGCCGCAAAGAGACCCTAAAATGTAAGATTCGAGGTGTATAAACATCGGCAGTTCCGCTCCAACGGCAGCTCCGTCGTACTCCATGAATGATGGTTGGGGAGTCACTACGATCAATTGGCCACCTGGAGATCTAATGGCAACCAATTTTATATGACTGTGTCACAAATGAGATATAAGCCATGATTGCACTACCAGCGTCGTTTTTGCTCTGTGACAAACTGAAATGAGAATGAGAGCGGAGATTGTAATAGCTGAAAGGCTTGACACATATTCGGGCAGAGATATTAAGCCAGCAAAAAGATCGATAGTCTAGCAGTCTACGCTATCGAAAGGTTTTGATAATTTATCTTAGACTTGGCCACTATGAAAAGAAGAATGCGATTGCAAGATGCCGAGGTCGTAGTCCGCTCATAAACCCAATTGCAAGGCCATGTGCTTTGTTTCACGCAGGGAGTCCGAATAGGTGCGCGATTATGTGTTGCAATAATTATTATTCTCGTCTTTGACAAGCCTAGACCTTGCGATCAATGACAAATGAAGACTACGTATTTACAAGTGCAACATAGTAATTACATATACCGAAGCCCCTTAGCTTGCATAGCGAAGCAATTCGCTTCCTCATCATCCCCCGAAATATTCATGGCCAAGGTTTAAAACAATCCTGACCTTAGTAAAGAGGATGAGTGTCATCTAGTCTGTGCCAAACTTCTATTTGATAGCTCCAAAACGCAATGAAATGTGAGCGAGGCATTGGTATGCCATACTGTGGATAGTGAATCCAGGCGAGAAATCTAAAGTCCCCTGGTGCTCTACTGAAATAGTGAACTAGTTTTCTATGACCTGATCGGCCGCTGAGTGTATAGTGAGTTTGAATTATCATACAATGGGGTCTGCTCGTCGCTTGCGCTTCGAGCATGGAGATAGTCATGCGGGACACAGCTTGCCATTCTGCGTCGGTAAGCCGTCGACCTGGCCACTAATTGCCCAATTCTCGCTACCGACCGCTGTAGGAGCATAGAACAGGCCCCAGGGGTCGACAGCCTTCTTGTACTGATACAGGCGGTTATAATTCGTGCCGTAGAAAGCTTGTTGGAAATTTGGCTCGAGGATATCGGCCTCGGACATGTAAGCACCAGCACCGGGGCTCACGTCACGCCACGTTTGCATCCAGTCGTTGGTCAGCTTCTTAGAAGCAGTGGCGATTGTAGCAACATCAGCATCTTCGTCCCACATGATAGCTTGGATAGCATGTAGAACGGTCTGACGCCACGCAGGGTTAACGGCGTTATTGGGATACCCAGATTTGGGCGCTGCGGCGATATTGAATGCCAGCATCGTGGCACCATCCTGGACAGTTGACTTGATAGCATCAAAGGTTGTGTCAAGAATTGTTGCATTGGCCCAGTTAGACTTAGGGAACAAGCGAGATGCCGTTTTCAGGGTAGTGGCACCGACACTCTCCAGGGGGAAGTGGTTCCACCAAGCATCGTAGAACTTGTCATAAGAGTAGTAGACGGGGGAAACAACAATACCCAGAGCCGTAAGTCGATTAAGCAGGGGCGTCTGAAGGGCAGTGAGGGAAGCTTGTGTATGGTTCGGCGCGAAGAATGGAGCCATGCCGAAGAGATACTGGTCACCACCCAGATTGATGAGTTGGAAGTACTCATAGCATCCCGCGTCTGTGTAAGTGACCATGTAGTCGAAATAGGCCCTAACACCTTCCCAGAACACGTCCGCGGTTACGGCACCGCCTGTCATGAAGCTCCACGTAGAAACAGCTACGGGGATCTTAGGGTAGACCTTAACTGTGATAGAGGTAACCACACCGAAAGTGCCTGGGAGGAGTCAGTGAACATTTCAGCATTCATTGACGCGGAAGGACTTACTGCCACCCCCGCCACGTAGAGCCCAAAAGAGATCCGGGTTGGATGTATCACTGGCAGTAACAAAGGCGCCGCTTGGTAGAACCACCTCCATAGAGAGAAGATGATCAGCAGCCATGCCGTAGATACTGGACAGTGGCGAATGACCACCACCAAGCATGTACCCACCAGCTACACCGACTGTCTATTACAAGCGGGTAACTTGATTAGCAATGTTTAATGTGACGTGATATTAGAAATTCTGGGAATACAACTCACTCGTCCTTCGCCACCAACAGCGGTCACTCCGTACTGGTCGGCAGCTTGATAGAGTTCGAAGGCTTGAACTCCAGTACCAAGTTTCATTGCAGGACCTTTATAAGATCCTTGGGTGTAAGAGCTTAGGTATTTGATCGACTTGAGCTTATGGGTCCAGATTGACAGAGCCCCAGCACCTGCCGACTTGCCATTGAAGTCGTGGCCAGTGTTCTTGACGACTAAACGGAGGTTTGCATTGCGAGCAAAGTTGATGGCTAGCTGGATCTGGGCAACATTCGTGACGGCAACAGCATACGAGGGATAGCCACCCAATGTGCAGACATCGGAGGGATCATCTGTAGGCATGCAGGTCCGTCCCTGATAAAGCGGCCACATGACTGAGGTAGGATCCTCGGCACTATGATGGTCAATGGACCGCAGGACACGTACGCACATGCCGCGCGAAAGATGTTCATGAGAACTTACTGCATTTGAGAGTTGTTGCTCCAGTTGTTAGTGATATAACTGCACTCAGCAGCATTCCTGACCTTGGGCCATCCCGAATAGCAGGGAGCCGCGAGTGGTGTGGTCTTGATGAGAGCACCGCCCAGTAGCAGATCAAATACAGTCCATATCAGATCAGACGGCCATGCCTTATCTCCAGGGAAGACTTTGCAAGCAGCTGATGCTCGCTTGGCAACGGCGTCATCTGTGCTGCCGAAGTCGAACATGTCAACGCCCGTCAGGTTCAGTGCCGTGAGATTAGTCAACACATCCGGCGTGAGCTGGACGGCCTCGTCCGGAAAATACGGCACGGTGGCATTGCTGCTGGCGACCGAAACTGTATCTGCGGCTGGAGCTACAGTTGACACATTGGCGTCTGTCGGTAGCACGTAAGCAGCTTTTCGCTTATGCGTGGAAGTAGTTGTGGCTCAGAAGTGATCACAAGCAGGGGAGGGTGGTGTCATGTGAGATGCAGCACATGTGTGGCGCATACATACCTATGGTGGTGTTGTCAACGGTTAAGGTCTGCGAAGCCACCAGAGGCGCTGTCGCCGCCAAGACTATGGCAGCTCGTCGCACGAGGGAAGACATTGTCGATCACAGCTCCTGGACTCAAGGTTCACTTGGGTTAGTGAAGGCAAGTGAAGGGCGGCTGGAGGTAAAGGAGGGTGACTCGATCATTGCGAAGCGGCTCGCAGGCTCAAATATATTACCGACCGCGAATTTACCGGCATGGTGCAGGGAAATTGCTGCATCATTGCCACGAGGCGAGGCTCAGCAACCCTAGCGAGCCTAGCTGATGGAATCGAACGAGACAGCCACCAGGAACCGAGAATAAGGGACGGATTCAAGCAGAACCCTGACCACACGTGGGACCGCAATCAATAAACGCTGCGCCCTAATCCACAATGCAGAGTTGGAGCGGCTTTTGAAGCTTCAATGGGCAGCCGCTGCCAGGAACTATCGAATGCCTACTTCCAAGGGTATAGACACGGATTCAAAAGAGTCTAGGTTAAGAGCGACCTATCAAGATTCCTAGCATGATGATTCCCTATATCAGTCCGTTGAAAATGGATAGTTGGGGGCACTTCTGGCCAATGTTACGAAATGGGACATGGACCGAGAGGCGAAATGAAGGATTTTAGGTCGTATGCAAAAAAGCGACAGTCATCGAGAGGTTCGCTTGCCCCTTGGACGTACTAGGTTAGTCTGGGCAAGAGACTCCTTTCATGCAGGTACATACTGTACGCAATGCCCATCACGGGAGGGCACGGCAGAGGTGGGGGAAATCTGTGTACTCCGGCCGGGTGGGCTTGGAGTAGTCGAGGGAGTTCAACTGTACTTAATCTACCAGGCTTAGCGAGCAGCGTCAGCCCATAGTCAAGCACAAACTGAACAATATCCCGTGAATCGCCGTAACATAGCAACGGAACATTAACCGTAGTTCTAGAAGAGTTTAAGCGGACATGGAAGGAGCGCTCTTGGACCGGAAAACGGCATCGAGAGTCAAGTGGTATTTTGACATTGTGTTGCGTAAACCATATCTTGTCTAAACTTCTTCTAGCAAGGGGTGCTGTAACGTTGAATGCAATGTTTGCAGGGGATAGTCCCTTCTCTAACCAGGCGATTGCTCCTGTTCAGGCTTAGCTACTTGTGCGTCTTCGCGGCGCAGATTCGTGCTATTGCTCTACGCATATTCCAGTGGTGAAATGAAACTACGGTCGATTATTCCGAGGCATATTTCCTACACAAGACCAGACTAAAAGGCCTAGGTCGAGTAGGTCAGCTTCTTGGCGTCTTCTTCCGGGCCCGCGGCAGCACGAATATCCAATTGCAACCTTAGCCGGTTAAATAGATTCAGCTGCCCTGTTTGAACTGTGCGCTATTTAGACGAAGCCAGGGGCCTAGTCGGTACTACCCTAGAGTAGATAGCACGGACATGATCACCACGACCGGCCCGTTAGGAACCCTCGTAGGGGATTAATCGGTTCCTCGAGAACTGACTGACTTGCATGTGCAGGTGCTTGGCTTTTTCCGGCTCTGTTGCGAACTCCCCGGAGGACGCGCTTAATGGGGAACAACACCGCCGACACACAGATGCTCTCATCTGGACATACTTTCTTGATGCGTTTTCGCCTTACTATCAGCGTCCATGGTCGAACCAGATGTAGGAGGCTGGTTGATCTCGTTCTAGTTTAGGCGTTGCTCAGCTTGTTTGACAGCCAAAGTCCCTTTAACGCTTTTCCAACGGGCGAGGGGAAGCGGGTACACCCCGCGACCCGTTCATTCCGCGAGGGCCGACCCTTGCACCATTGGAGTGGTCTGGTCTTGTTTCGTCCGTGCCTCTTGGGGTTGCATCGCTCGATTTTGTACTGTACACCTCCGCCGGGGTAATATTTGTTAATTTTGAGTGAGAATTGTGACTTTTCAGACAAGGGAGTTGCTACTTTTGCCAAGACCAGCGGGGCTATAGA